GAGGTGTTTATATATCTGGATGATTTATTAGTGGTTTCAGATAGTTTTCAGGCGCATATGCATGTTTTGCGCAAAGTAGCTTCTTGCATACAGGCAGCCGGCTTGACAATAAATTGCGAAAAAAGCAATTTCTGTATGCGTAGCGTAAAATACTTAGGCCACATAATCGGAGAGGGAGTAATACGCACAGACCCTAGCAAAGTGTCAGCGATTGTAGATTTTCCTTTACCTCAGAATTTAAGGGCGCTAAGGCGTTTCCTTGGTATGGCCGGATGGTATAGAAAGTTTATAAACAACTTTGCTGGAGTCACTGCTCCACTAACAGATTTGCTGAAGCAAAAGCGTAAATTTACTATGTCTGTCGAAGGAGAAAAAGCGTTTGAAACTTTAAAATCAATGCTTAGTTCTGCTCCACTTTTGATCAGTCCCGATTTTTCCAAACCTTTTTACATACATTGCGATGCAAGCAAGACAGGAGTAGGTGGGGTTCTTGTACAAAAGTCAGAAGCAGGAGACGAAATGCCGATTGCATTCGTATCTAAGAAATTAAACAAGGCCCAAAGAAATTATTCTGTCACCGAGCAGGAATGTTTGGCAGCCATCGTATGTATCAAACGATTTCGTCCGTATGTTGAAGGGCATGAATTTACAGTCATTACCGATCATGCCTCTTTAAAATGGCTTATGTCGCAAACCGATTTACATTCCCGTTTAGCGCGTTGGTCGTTAAAACTGCAGGGTTTTCGATTTAATATTGAGCATCGAAAAGGCAAATTAAATATTGTGCCAGATGCGCTGTCGCGCGTAAACGAGGACGAATTAGCAGCAATTGACTATAATAAGGGCCTAATTGTAAATTTGGACTCAGAACATTTTAAGTCAGCTGATTATCTGGATATGGTCGAGTCAGTTAAAGCCAACAATGACCAGTTTCCGGACTTGAAGGTGGTTGACAATATGCTGTATAGGCGCACCGTGCATACAACGGGTGATCAGCTACACGACAATTATGCTTGGAAATTGTGGATACCTAAGAACTTGGTCGAGGAAGTACTCCGCAATGCCCATGACAATCCGTTAGCATCACATGGCGGGATCCATAAAACGTTGGAACGAGTCCGGCGTTACTATTTTTGGCCTGGTCTTGTTGATGATGTCAAGACGTACGTAAATGCTTGCGAAACTTGCAAGATGACAAAAGCACCGAATTTTCCGATGCGACCACCTTTGGGCAAACCTGCGGAGTCTGAGAGATTTTTCCAACGTTTATACGTTGACTTTTTAGGTCCATATCCTCGGTCACGCAGCGGAAATATTGCCATCTTCATTGTTTTAGATCATTACTCTAAATTTGTTTTTCTGAAGGCAGTAAGGAAATTGAATGCAGAAACGGTTGTTAAGTACATGCGGCAAGAATTGTTTCATACATTTGGGGTGCCCGAAACTATAGTATCGGATAATGGTTCCCAGTTTAAATCTGAAGCATTTCAAAAATTCTTGCGGGAAAACAAAATTTTCCATTCACTTACAGCGGTGCATTCGCCTCAGGCAAATGCTTCTGAGCGCGTGAATCGCTCAGTTATAGCAGCCATCCGTTCGTATATTCGTCCAGATCAAAAAGACTGGGATGAAAGTTTGAGCAGTATCTGCTGCGCTTTACGGTCTGCTGTCCACTCTGGCCTCGGCACAACACCTTATTACATGGTCTTTGGTCAGCATATGATTACTTCAGGTTCAACGTACAAGTTGCTTAAAACGTTGCGTCTTATTGAGGATAGAGCGGTTGTTTTCTCAAGAGAGGATTCGCTCGATATTGTGCGCAGTAAGGCGCTTGAGACAATGAAGAAACAGCAGCAGAAGAACGAAAAAATCTATAATTTGCGGTCGCGTGAGGTTTCTTATTCAGTTGGACAAGAAATCTTCCTTAGAAATTTTAAACAGAGTAATTTTCCAGCCGGATACAATGCAAAGTTAGGACCAGCTTTTGTGAAAGCGAGAGTTCGACGTAAACTTGGAAATTCTTATTACGAGGTCGAAAATTTGCAAGGGAAAATACTGGGTCGTTATCATGCGAAAGACTTGCGTCAGTAAGAATTTGTTTTCTTGCAGCGTCTGGTGTTTTCAATCTTGCGTTTGCTTTGAAACCCAAGATTGAATTTAGCAGGGGGGAATTTGTAACGACGCTGGCGGCGAATATCGTAAATTAAATTGCATTCCCTTAGTCAAGCAGTTCATTGGCTATTTATGTTTACGCACTGCTTGTTTAGTTACGGTTTGAATTGGCGATTCGTCTTAGCGCCAACTGCCTATGATCGCATTTTTATTATTCTTGCCTTAGCAGACGAAACAAACAAATTTTCCATAATTGTTTTTATATATGTACAAAAAAAAAATTATTTTCTGCAGCCGCACGGCTATCGGCCACCTATGGGTTATTTTCAGTATTGCTCAGTGGCAATATTTGCTAGTTGTCAGTGGCCCTTTCTTCAACCTTGACCTGTCAAAGGGAGATTGTCAGAAGAGGGGGTGAAGCAATTTCCGCAAAGAAAAGTTTTCTTGCGTAGCCTCGGCATCCGGATACTTTCTTTTCGCTTGAAGATCGCATGGGAGCAGGTTGTGCCCAATATACTCTGGCTGGCAAATATATGGTCATACATATAGTATAACCTATAGTCCGTTTCAAATTCGGCTGGGCCAAAGCGTTAAGCCTGCTGCAACAAATTTGGAGAATTTGCAGTAATTTTTCACTTCAATTGTGTTAGCAAAAGGAATTCTGCCTGGTGCCACTTCCGGATATCGGGTAAATTTTACTTTTTCCGTTTATTCGCATATAAAATGCAAAAGCTAATGCTATTTCTTCATTGTACATTGTTTTCGTGCAGAATTGGCACTTAATAAAAAGTCCAATCCCCATAAAGGGCATTAACCTTTGCTTATCGCTTTGATGGGCACTTGCTAGAGCGACGACTAGGAAAAGGGAAGTGCACGGGAGAAGGAGGCGTGCTAGAAACGAGATCGGCGCTTCGCTCAGGCCACTGGAACGGCGAAAAGAATCACCGCCTCAGTTGCGTGGATCATATCCGATATGACGGTCGTCGGCTTAAGCTAGGGCACCTGTTTTTTTTGTTGCGTTTCCGTGCACCGAAAAGGTGGCGAAGCCCCAGGTGGCTTTAGTGAAGAGTGCCTGCGTAAAAAAAAAAAAAAAAAAAAAAAAAAAAAAAAAAAATTATAAAAACTATATATATGTAAAACTATACACAAATGTGGGCCCTGCAAAAACAACAAAAAAAGTGCAACCGAGAGAACTAGGCATTTATTTTTTTTCTATTCTTTCGTCTTATATTCTTTTTTTTGGGTCGTATACGGCCTTATACTTAAATTGATCTATATCCGATGTGAGCAAAGCAGCACGGCCGGGTGTGTAGAGAGGGAAAAAAAAGAAATAAGTGAAAACCAAAGAGAAAAAAAAGAAAAAAGAGAAGGCAACAAAAAAAAAGGCAAAACAACAAATAAAAACCCCTTTGACTATACGTTTCGAAATAAAATTTTAATAAGCATGGCGACAAGTGAAGGTATGAAAAGTGCATGTTTTTAAAACCAAAATTTCAACATAAAATTTTACAAACAACTTAAAAATCATAATTAATGTGCATGTAAGCAGCAACGAGCCTATGCAGAGCGCCTCAACGGAAAGATCTTTCGACGTTGGACGACAACTGTAAGTAGAACCGTTTGAATTTTATTTACTTTCATGCAGAAGAGCACGCGTACAAAAACAAAAAAAATAAATAAAACACCTGTTCATATGCGTCATATGTCTGCCTGCTGGCCATGTAAAGTCTAATTTCCGCATTATTATTATTTTTTTTTAAATCACCGTAATAACGTTATACTTGATTGCGGTCATTACTTACTTAAATTTATGGCCAATCTTTACAAAAAAAAAAAAAGCGATGCAAGAATTTATAACACTTTAAATATCAACACTTTCTCTTACATCATATTTTTTTTTATTATATTACGATCCATTTCAATTATTAACCATCTCTTACAGCCAAGCCGTTGCTTTACTCACCTTGCTCAATTTATATTTACACTAGTATTTTAAGGCAGTCATATGTTTACCTATTCTGCTACTGGCTACGAATCCAGTGATAATTAGCTTTAGATTTCTATTATCGGTTAATGTACGGTCACTTTTTTTGGAATTCCTTGAAAATTATGATTTTAGTTTTTAATAAAAAGTTTGTAATGTTCGCTTAAATTCCGCCTAACATTGATTTCCGCTAGCCACAGCATGTAGAGGTTCAAAGGGGTCATTTGCATAATTGTTTTTGGATATAAATGACCAAGGATGGGTGGGCCAATACTTCCTCAACACCAACAGAGGAATACCAGATGTGTGTTCACTTGTGTTACGTGGTCTGCCAACCAGCGATCCTTTTGTTAGTCATATTCATGTATATCTTTACCGGTTTTTTTTTTTTTTTTTTTGGCTTCCCCACAGCACGCTTTAACTTTAAATAATAAGCTTAATGAAAGGCCGTATGATTGGAGAGACATCGAACACCACCCACTAGCCGACGAGCCCGAGCCGGAACATATAGCGTGCGCTCTCCAACATACACACACCATCTCGCCTACTCTACTGGGATATGTCCTATACCCGTTACAACTCGTTGGTAGTAAAATGTTTTTTATAGTATAGAAATAGTAGGGTATATAAGTAGTTCGCGGAGCCTGTCTAAGGAGATATAAAGTATTCTTGTAAGACTCAATGAAGAACATAATAAATACAGCTGCTGGAAGTTGATGGACAGAGAATGTATTTAAAGCAATATATTTCTTTAGAACTATGCTAACAGTATGAATCGTGACATGGGGACAAATGAGCTCTGAAAGAATATAATTAATTCTCACTCAATCGTTGAAGTGGTAACCAAAATGCAGTTTTGTGAATGTTTGCATAAATAAAAATCGAATGAATTACTTTAACTCACCTGGCAGGATAATTAATAGTCCCAGGCCATAGGCCAGCCACTTAAAAGCAGCGGCTACGGCGCAGAGTCTTGCTGTTTTCGTTGTTCCTGCTGATCTGGAAGTAGTAGCTGTTGTTGATTGCCCAGTATTGTGGGTCTGTAGGAAACTCATTATGGGCCCGATCCGATGCATTTTCATGCGCATTGACTTTTTGAAATTATTGCTACAATTTGTTATTGAATAGTTATGTTGTATGATGTCTTACTGGAGTATCATTTAAATGTCAGCACAGTAGGATTCTTAAAGATTTGTTATCGATTTGTATCACTCTGTTTCGTTCTGTGAGTATATGTGTACACGAGTATGTATGTATATATACGAGTGTATGCGTGCAATTATGAACTTAAACGCCACTATGGGCATTAAACCTGTCTGTCAAAGTACGTTGGCGTTGGCCCAGACGAAAGCCGACAGTTGGCCAATTGGCGGCGTTTTAGTTAAGTGCAGACATTCTGTTGGAGCAGCGTCTCTCCCCCTTCCTGGGTCTATTTGCTATAGTTGATGGACTGCTGAATCAATGTGCGATCAATAAAATGCTGGCAAGCAAAAGGCAAACACGATGAGTATACCAAAAAAATTGCCTTGAGCGCTAACTTGAATTTTGTTGTTGATGGCGAAGAAGAGAACAATTTTCCACAGCAATTGTTTTTTATCGATGTCTGGCTGCTGATGTTACTGGGACTGACTGCCGCTTCTATTGTTATTGTTGTAGTTGTTATTACTGTGGCTGATGGGTAGGTTAAAAGTGTTGTTGTTGTTGTTGCTGCTGCTGCTGCTGTTGTTGTAGCCGGTAGCAACTTGAATGTTCCTTATCTTTGCCACCTTATTTTGTCTTTCAATTTTGGAAAAATGCCTCACGCTGCAACTTTTACTTTTGACTTGCCGCAAATTTTTCGGATTTTGGCGCCTTTTATCCATACATTTTTGGGTCTTCTTTATATTTTTCAGCTTCAAAGAATGGGCTTAGCTCTGTGGGCCGATGGCCTGCTGTAAAGAAACGCTTTCTCAGACCACGTTTCCAGGCAAAGTGTTGCTGTTACTGAAGCTTGTTGCTGGCATTTGTGTATGCATATTTATTTGTGTGTATGTGCGTTTTTATGAGTGTTCCCCAGCCAGCCGTTGACCTTGGCTATTTAACTGCTCAGCTTCTGAAATCAGTTTCCCTCCTTTTCTTGTTTTATTGTCGACTGCGGCTGTCATCCATTTTTACCATCCCACAATTTTGTCTTTTCCCTTGCCTTTTTCCCTTTTTCCGCGTCGGCTTTTGATGCCAAATTTATGTGTTGTGCATAAACGTTACCGATTTCTGGTACTTCACTCCCTTTTCAATGGTCCGCAGAAAACTTTTGTTCAAGTATTTCTTTTTTATGCTTCGACTTTATTCTGCTGTCTCTCTTGTTGCCGAAAGTTACGTTTCCGTGGTGTGTTTCCGTAACTTGTTTACGCGTTTTGTTCTTGTTTTTCTTTCGTTTTTTTCTTTTATCTTTTTTAGCATTTATTTTAGTTTTTTGCTTTTTGCAACATTTTTTTAGAAGCCCCTTTCTTGTTGTTCAGATATACTATGTATGCGAGCACACATAGTACGAGTATGTAGGCATATTCATTTAAATATATATGTATATTTATACTATTATGTATGTGTGTGTGTGTGTGTGTTCGTAGGCTGCCTAGCTAACAAGTTGCTGTTCCTTTTGTTGGCTCTGCGCATGAACAAACATTATTTCGTTGTGTGCTTTGAGCGCTTTAAATGCATATGAGTGCGTAGGTGTTTGTTAGTGCTTTGTGTGCATTTAAAAATTTAAATTCGTTTCATACAACTTTTTTCATTCACTTTAATATTTATTTTTCATTTCGTTTTAGGATTTATACCCTCATTATTTGTTTTTTGTTTTGTTTTAAGTGTTTTTAATATTACTGTGCTTTAAGTGTTGTAGTTGTAGTTAATGAGCATTCCTTTTTATTAACTTATTGTATAATTTTTGTAATCGCCTCATTCATTTAGTTTACTTATTTGCTTTTAATATTTGCTTTTATTTAATTATTTTCAACTGCGGCTTACACAATCCATTGTTTTTGCTTTCGTTCTCTGATATATTTTAAATGTGTGTTGGTGTTTTTTTTTTTTTTAATCCTGAATCGCGCTTTTAAACGTTGCTAGCTTGTTGCCTGCCACAGAAATTTTTTCTGAAAGAAAAACAAAAGGATTATTTAAAAATGTGTAGCATACTTTTCGAGGAACACTTCAAAGAGAAACGGTTCGGCTTACAACAAAAACTTTCCCCACCATTAAGGTATATCCATACCACTTTTTATTTTTTATTTATTTTTTCAATGCTCTACAGTGAACAATTGACTGACATATCCATGATGGAGGGAGTAGCTATTGCAAAATACATACATACGGACAGATGGACATCCCAATTGGGATAAGTCTCGTTTTACTACTTATATGTAGCTGGATCCTAAGGAACAAACAACAAATGTCCTGATATTTTATATAGTTCGTGCTAAGGCCAGCCAACAAAGATGATGCAGGCTTTACTAGAGCACAATCGTTTTTATGGAGAAACTCGATCCATGAGAGTTCAATAAAATAAATCGAATTGTGGAAATAGTTTTTAAAGACAACATAATCGAAGCGACGTTTTCATTTTTAACACTGTCAGCACAACGCTTCAAAACTATGAAATTTTCTCATCCAGATACATACTGTCAGACCCGGCACGGCAAACACAAAATTATCAAACATACATTTATTACATCACAACAGGACAACATATACAACAATAGAAACAAAACCAAACAATCAAATCTAAAATGTTGGATACAAACCACCGCGACGAGTTTACCATTAAGCTGCTGAACCGCTATCTGGCAGGTCTTCGCTATCACCTCAAACTAGAAACCTCATTCGAGGAGGTCTACGAGGAGATTGGTGCACTGCTCGACGAGGTGGAGACAACCATACGCTACCCACCAAAAATCTACAACAACACCCTAGAAAATAACGTCCTGATCGAGCACAGGATCGGGCATCGTTGTCTGCGCGAGGTATACAACAAATCGTTCTACGCAAAGCGTGTCCAACGCATCAGACGTAAGTGGGAACAATTGCGAGAAAAGGTTAGCTGCCTAAAGGTCTTAGCCTGCACCGCCAAGAGTCTTCAGGAATTTTGTGATCCCACCGATACAATGCGCAGCTGGGCCCAGCGCGCTGACATTGTGGAGGACTTCGTTGATATTGTGTTTAGGGAGATGCCCTACTATTACGATCTGATCACTCCGCCAAATGAGTGCTAGGATAAGAGCTCGATTCGAAGAAGAGCACAAGCACCTCACCTCTGCCTCCCTTTGAGATTACATTTTGTTATGATTGTTTTCAGCACAGTATTATTCAGTGAATTTTTAGAGCGCATAATGTATAAAGGCAACGCAACAATAAACGGCATCAGAGCATTGCAATTTACTATAAATGTACATACCTATATATGTATATTTATTATTTACAATGAAAGACAAATATGCTTCATAAAGCAAAATAAAAAAGTCAAATCTATTCCTATGCGACAGTTGGGACACGACTCCCATAAATCACTGGGAGTTGGCCGAACGGCTGCAGACATGGCGGGCAAGCAGCATATGCCCCAAACACACAAACACACAAATGCACACACTCACATCGAACGCGCATAACGCCGAGAAGAACACACACACACCATACACATCCACACATACACATACACGCATATACGCACACATATAAATTTGCTTTTAAATGCATGCGCATAAATGTATGCTTTGCTTTTTTTTGTTTTGCAGCTGTCCTTTCATTTCGGGGGCATTTCAAATTGCGCTCTCATTTCGGCATTAAAATTGCAGCAAATACTTTGAATAAATGCCCCAGCTGCATGACAAATGTCTTGCATTATATATAAAATATGCCCCAATGGCAATGGAGAGGAACTTTGTTTGTGTCTGTGTATGTGTCGTTTGTATAGTATGCCGCAAATGTGGCAGTTGCACTTGATTTGTGCACTTGGCTGGGCAGCTGTTGTTGCCTCTGACTCATGAATGATATGATCATAGGTATTTATTGTAATGTCTTCACATGAATGAAACATATGCACATATGAGAATTTTTAAGCGACCCGAGTGCCTCTATGTGTTTTCATAATGGAATATTTATGCCTCCTTTTTATAATATTTGTATTCCTCCTCACATTTTTGAAATTTATGTTCTATAAATTGTGGCATCTGTGAGAAACTCGAAACTAAAAATGCGGGCAAAAAAGATGTTCCTTTCAAAGGACTACATTGAAATTGATAATAAACAAATAAAATTTTTGCTTTTTAAGGCTAAAGATAAAATAAAATTAGCAAAACATTTTTGTTGAAAACAAGGTAGCTATTCATAAGAGTCTTGGGCATGAATGAAATTCCATATTGAAATTTATGGCTAACCTTTTTAATGGGAGTATATATCTATAAAGTAGTAGATCACTATAAAGTAAAAGTGTTTGATAGGCTAAGCTATTAATGGAGCTTGTTCCACACATAAGTACACTAAAGGGTTCCTCGATCGACTTAGTATTTGGATACTTGCCGATTTAAATCTGATATATCGTACCTTTTTTTAACAACAAAGGACTTGCTCTATTTTATTTTATATATTTGATTTGGCGTGCGTGCTAATAATAATACGTTTATTCCTCTTGCAGCAGAGTTTAGGTGAAAAGTATGTTCTGTGCTGGGCTGCTTAACTAACGCTAATGATTTGGACCTACAATATAGTTCATACATTTAACAATTAATTAATGATAAGTGTTGTCCTCAAACAGAGCTGGTATAATATTTTTGTGGGGATTTTAATGAAAAGATCTATACCATAAGTAGAACGCTAGAAAACGTTGCCTTACATTTATAGACAAACGGTGGATCATTACTTATAGCTCTAAACAAAATACAAATACCTTTCACAGTGGCAGTGGATTTCCCGCTCATGTGTTTTTTGGCACCTCCTTCAGAGTGAGATGTGTGGCAATATTAACAACGAGAGTGCCGATATTAGCCAGTGTCCTATAATGGTGGCTGTCACAAAAATTATATTTCAC